GATGAAACAATCACAGTACATTAATATCAATATATCCGCTATATAAAATTATATACACAATACATACCACATTTTTCAATTTTCTTTGGAACTGAATGTCCAACATTCGTTCCATGTTTTTAACGTTTTGCGGCTTTTGCTATTCTGATTCTAAAAATTTATTGTAATTTATTGTAATTTTCCATTTTTTGCATTTGCTTTTACTATTTTTTCTGGTTTTCCTCTTCTACTTAATGGCTTCTAGAATTTCACATCTTTTTCGATCTTTTTCAATACACATTACAGGATATAATATAATCATTTTATTAATATAGATGTGTATATAAATGAAACTATCGCAAATTGATTCATAATTAATTCACTAAACTATACAAAACCAATAAATATTGTATATTCTCCCCCTTTGGACTTTCCTGCCTACATCACTAGTCTTTAATGGCTAAATCCTTGTTGCGCCATATAATACCTGCTACGCGTAATACTTTGTCTACTTCTGTAATGATTTCGGATGTAAAGTTATTTGAAAATGTTATTCTCGACCCAAAGTATCCCATATCTGGTCTACACATATTTCGTATAGTGTCCTTGTGCTTAATAAGTTAATTGAAGATTATTAGCGACTTTATAGCTTTAAAAGAACTTGAATTGATTTTAATATTTATTGTATAATTATTGTTGAAATTTTTAAATCTTACTTTTGTCTGCTTATTTTCTCTGTTATATCGATAATAATCCAAAGTATTCTCAAAACTAGTGTGAGAATACCTTCTACTTCTCAAAAACTTTGCTGAAAGGAACAGGGTTCACTTAATATGGATCCCAAAACACAGCGGATTTGAGGTAAACAAAAAAGCAGATGAACTAGCCAGAAAAAGGGCGGCCTCATATTATATTGGACCACAACCATTCTGCGGTCCTTAAGCTTTTTCAAACTAAAATGAATGAGTGGCTGGAAAGAGCAGCTCAGACTGATTGGGATAATACAATTGCCTGCAGACAAGCTAAAGAATTCATGCCGTATCGATCAAAAGCCAGAACTAGGGAGCTACTTATGCTAAACAGAAGTGGCATCCGACTTGTCATAGGATTTCTGACCGGATATTGTGGAGTTAAAAAGCATCTATCGAACCTAGGTATTACTAGAGACGATAGCTGCATCTTTATTGCGAAGAAGAGGAAACAGCAGAACACATTTTGTGTCACTGTGATAGTCTCGCCAGACTCAGACTTCGGTACCTTTCTATTACCTATCCACTTACAATGAAATTAGGTAACATCTCTCTAAAGAACATAATGCGTTCTTAACTGCTACTCCTCTATGGAACTAAAGGAGTAACTGGTATGTCACAATTATCCTCAAAGGAATCAGTGATGTGATGATTAGTTCCCAAATCTAATCTGATCCAAAGTAGAATATGTTTTAAATCTTTAGCAGCAGACTTATAAATGAAAAATATTTTAATATAAATAACTAATTCTAAACTTGTCAACCCACAGCACATAAAAACAGATAGTTTTATATATCGAACTTATTATGTCTATACAATTAAACTAAATAGGTCATTTAAATCCGAAATTGATATGACGGCAACAATTAAACAGCTTTATAACTACAAACGATTTAAATCCATACAAAATGATTCGGCATTTCTGTTTCTGTTATATTATAAATATGCATTGTACATACATATATAATATATTGATTGTATGAAGCAGATAATGCAATAATGCAATTAATAATGATCATTATAGAGACCTTTATTTATTCAAATAATAACAACAAAAATAACCATAACTAACATAAAATTTATGCAAACACCAAAAATATTTATACTATAGATATACTAAATTTTAAAAGAAAGGCTAAAAATTTTAATAAAACGAATTAAATATAACATATTTTTCAGTTTTTGGCAAATTGATTATTAAAAATATCACACCATGTCTGAGGGATCTTCTCAACAAATACAGCAAGACAACCGCGATCGTTCTAAATCCACTGAAGATAATGAAAGTCCACGAGAACCCTCCCTAGTATGCAGAGACATTGATGTAAGGCACTTCATCTCTTTGTAATCATAAAGTCATTAATTTTAGTACCTGTATATTAAAATGCATCAGGCAATTATTCAGAGTTTATCTTAGCAGAGTATATTTGTTTTTTTTAATATTGGATTAAACTAAAGATGGGCACAGACATATGAGATGGAGTATTACACATACATGTGTAAAAAGAACATAAAATTCTAAATTATATAAATAAATAAATTAATTAATGCGTTATTTAATATATGTAATAAACGTTTCTTAGTGTCTACAAGACTTAATCAATTCGTTTTGTCCCTTTAATCTGGTGCATGGACAAAATATAATTATTTTTATGTTTAAATTTGAGTTCATATTTGCGAATCTTTTATTACGAATAATAACATATATACGTACAACATTTTACATATGTAATAATTGATATATACTTTTAAGATTAAAACAGAATTAGAATGTCTTGTGAAGTTACTTGATGGAAAAATTTATAAAGACGAGGAGGTTTCAATGGAAGAACTACATCAATATTTAATTGAGGATGATGGATCATGGTCGTTAGGAGATAATTTTTTAGTTTTTGTACAACGTGTTTTGCGCGAACAGTCATTTTCGCCTGATACGAGAATACATTTGATACGTACACTAGCTTACGCAGCACTTAAAGATGACGTCATAATTATATTACATCAGGATCGTAGGGATCATTCGTTGATGAACTTTGCTCAGGATATTGATAAACATACACCTGAAGAACAGCAGGCTTGGGCCATGTTTGTAAGTTGTAGATATTGATTTGATACATAAATATTATATAATATTAGCTTTTTTTGAAAGATGTGCAATCTTTTTGAAAATGTTGGCCCTTCAGAATGGTTACTATATATATCAGAATGGGACTATAACGGACAAACGCTTTCAAATATACGTGTAACGACAAAAGTTACAGTCCATTGTATATTATCGAATTGTCCTCAATTAAAAAACATTGGTTCAATGATTTTATACAATATTGCAATTAAAGAAGTTAAGACGGTTGTAAGATATAATGAATTTAAATATACCTTTTTCTATATATTTAGATCATTCCTTAACGTTACAATCTTTTACAGGTATTTGATGATGTAGCAGTAGAATTAACTATGGCTGTGCTACAATTCTACCAAAGTAGTCCTAATGAAGAGCAAATATTTCGTACTCTAAAAGCACTTGTAAGATTTCTCGAGGTGAGGTGATTATATATATGCATATTATTTTTAAATATATTTTTAGTAATCCAATTCTTTAATTAAATAATTTCAATAAACAAAAAATGGTTTTGCATATCTAAGAAAATTATGTTAATGTGTAAATACCTATTTAATATAATATAATAATAAATATTACATTATATGTTATATTATATATAAACTAAATATATATTTTCCTATACCTATATTTCAGGTATCTGCAGATGTGGCAGCAATAATTCAAATGATTGGTCCTCATCCAAAGCAATTTACTGGAAAAAGTGATCGAATTAATGAGCTGCTGAATGTTATTTGTCGAAAAGTTCCTTTATAATATACAAAAGTCTAAGTTTTTTAAATTCTATTACACTCTTAGTTTGTAGAATGTTCAAATTTTTTTACATTTTCTACCTAATTCTGATATTTAAAAAAATGTTTTTTAAATAAAGCTGCACTTTAATTAATTCAAGTTATTTAAAATTACATTTATTTCAAAAATGTATTAAAGATTAGTATTGTCATTGCAACACATTTTAAAATATAAAAAACTAGATTCTCCAGCCCGCAGTTGTAGCCAATTCTTCTGGTTGGAAACGAACATTTCTGAAGGCAGTTGAGTTTCCTGTAACGCTTCATCGTCTGTCAAAAATAATAAAATAAAAATAATTGAGCTATAAAATTAATAGAAATTTTATACTTAATTTATGATCATATGCTGGTGACTTTGTTATTGAAATTATATCTTCAGGTTTGCGGAGTAAAATCTTTCCCACACCCTTACACATGCGAAGAACCTCATGATTACTCAACTTATCTAATTGATCTTGATTTATGAAGTTGCAATTTAATATCCATTCACGAACATAGTCAAAATCACTCAGCAATCGTAGTGCGCCGGCTATATTGAATTTTATGCGTTTATTATAAATAAAGTCTAGCCAGGACTCACATATTATTCTTAAAATAAGTTTCAACACTGCAAGTTCTGTTGTTGCTTGTATTATGGGTAAAAAGATTTGGTCCAGAACATAATCGACATAGGTAGACTTCACTTCCGCATTATATGTATTTTGCTGCCAATGGGTAACTGGCGGAAAACATAGTGTAAAAGTGGCCAAACTTAATATCCGGCATACAGATGATAATATATTAACACATTCCTCTGTAGTATTCTAATAAAATATGTTTATATACAAGTAATTGTAAAATTTCATGATATTTTAAAGTCATTAAAGTTAGAAGTTAGTAATTTGTTGACAAAAGCGTTATACACATTAATTACTAATTATATATAAACTGATCTGGATATACAATAAATTGTAATATTTTATGCCCAAAATAATAGAACACGAAAGAGTAGAGAATTTTTTGTATTGCAAAGGATTTATTCGTAAGCATGATATTAATTTTTATAGATTTTTAATAAACACTATAAATCGTTTTAAAACTCAACAATTTTATTACTTTTCAGTTCAATATGGTATATCAGAAACAACAAACTTGAAATGGCTTTTTCATTTATGACTTTTTAAGACCAATAAGTGTTTTTCAATTACGCTAAAAACTGAAAGTAAGGGACTTCTTGAGTCGTCTGTCTCTAATAAAATGAATATATACTTTATTTATCATAATTTAGTAAAAGATTAGTAATAATAATATATTTATGTAGCGAAGTAAGAATTAGGATATAATTCAGCATGATGAATATTTTCTTCCCAACACTAGTAATGAGACCGGTTTCGTTCATTTGATCTAACGCCCGCAACCGGTTCTTTTTGTTATTATTATTTAAAATCTATACAAATAATATGTAAATATAATAGTTCATGAAATTCATCATTCATCATTCATCATTAAATCAAGGTCGTTAGCACTATAGGAAGTTTAAACATATCACTATATAATACAATTAAATCACAAAAAAGCAGTGATGGGATAACCTGAACCAAACACAGCCTAGGTAGTGGATTCTTATTCTAGGTAGCCATATTCTTATTTTTGTATTAGTCTAGTATTCTAATGTGTTAACTCATGTTACATGCATATTCACGTCTATATATGTAAGCAAGCAAAGTATATCATATCTTTACTCTTTGGAAAATTTTCGAATATGTGAAAATTAAAGAGCAGTGTGAGTGAATTTTGTATAAATAAAATGAATACTAACACTATGCATCTTAATACAAGTCAGTAAATGAATATTACTAGCAAAATTTTCGATTGAAAAATTATTATAATGAAGTGTATAAGTTAAAATAATATATGTATTTTCTTAATATAAGTTATAATCGGTGCTGTTATAAACGTAAGTTTCTTACCTTTAGTTTTTCAATATTGACTTTGACCTCACATATTAATTTTGTGCGCAATGCAATGCATACCAGCATTAAAATGTCATTCAAATTAGAAGATAAGTTTGGCAGCTTAAATTTATCAAATAATTTTAGGCAGATTTGCACGTCCTGTTCTAATATCTTGAAAAAGAGACTCATTTTCCATTCACAACATAACAATTTTGTTTGTTCAGTAACCCATATGCGCATTGAATGGACTGAATGATCTGAGTAAAAAGAATAAAATTTATTATGTGTACATATAGTATGCCCTCGATAATCGAAACAATTATGTTATAAGGTTTAACTCGATTTCCAAAATGTTGAGATTATCAAGAGATTTTTATTTTTCTAGTAATGTATTAAACTACATCCAATATGTTATACATACCTATATACATGGAATAATATATTTACTAGGTAGATACGAGATATTTACCTGTACCTTATATATTTGGTACCTTATATTTACTGCTAAGGCAGAAAAAATTTTGGTGGTGCGTATGCGATAACATATTGTATTCTAATTAGGAATAACAATTACTCAAAAAAGGAAACAAGAAAAAATAGTGTCGCGATTATACAGATTACAATGAAAATTGTGATCGGAAAACGGAATTTATTTACAAACAGGAGAGATTTTGATAAAAATTCACCATCTCCTTCGATTTATTGAAATGTTTTTATGAGCTTAAAACAAAAATACGCATATCTCGGGAAAAAAGCTTCTTCCGGAGCGATACCAGGAATATGGTACATGAGGATTTTAGAATTTGCATTTTAGATCATTCGCACGCTCTGTGAATGACAGACTATTCAAATTTCCTACGTTGTAAAGATAAATAACATAATTGAATACTTTACTTATATAATGTCCATTTAAAATCGTTTATATTTAATTACTGTTGGAAATGTATAATCATTATTGAATAGTGGACTATCCTTATTTAATTAATTGTATTTAACATATATTAAAATCAAGATATTCATTCACTTTTTGACTTCAGATAAGATCTATATTAATAAAATTAAGTTGGTTAAAATACAAATAAACAATTACCAATATTTGTCATTCATGAAAATATACATCAAATATTTTTAGATTTAGATTTAGAAAATTTTGTAAAAAAACTAAATCTTTTTTGAAGGCAAAGAATAAGAAATACTTTTTAAAAATTAATGTATCTCTCGTCTCACACCAGACGTATGCGAAAGACATATCCGTTAAAAAATCTCAAATTATTTCACAAAAATAACTAAGAATTTTAACTAAGAACTAAGAATTAATTACACTAGTTTACAAATAATTAAAATATTTCCTTTAGGGAAATTTTCCATGGAACTCGAAAATCACAACGATTTTTTTTCCTGCGTACCATTTTCGAGTTATTTGCAAAAAACCGTTATTTTGACTTTTCTCAAAACATCACCCTTCACATGGCCCCCTAACTTTATTTTTTTAGAAGTTACTATAGTAGTGCGTAATATATCAAATTAAAAGTGAAACTTGTATGAACATTTTAAGCTACATAACGTTAATATAACTTATTTAGTTTCGCTGCTATAGCTGAAAATGTACAGATGAAAATGTTTTTTTTACGCTTTTTTCAACTTTTTCGATTTTCATTGTGATGGGACTCCCGCTAAAATATTTGAAAAAATTATTTTTTTGATTAATGTTAAAGATTGTTTTAGTACAAACATTTCGAGTGGCTTAACATAAAAATCGAATAAAAATTTCAGAAGTTATTTGCCATTTCCCAAATTTCCCCAAAATAGTGGTTTTTATTAACAAATCAGAAAAATCATTTTTTCGAATTTGTTTTTTTTAATTTAAAGTGCAAATCAAAACAATATTATGTAAAATTATACAAATTTTATTTAAAAATTAAAAATTAATATTATTAAATAAACTTGCTAGCTAAAAATACTTGCTAGCTAAAAATAAACTTTTGCATACAGTAGAGTCCTTGTGCTGTGACACTATTGCGTCAAATACTGAAATAATAAAAAATACTTGCATTTTATTGGAACGTAAACTTGGAGAAGATTTATTATACGAAGTTTTCAGACACCATATATATGAATTGGTCAATTTCTGGCAAACAGTATCGATCAAGACACAAGTTGTTATTTAACAGACTGGAAACGACTAGCAGTTAGTTATGAAATCTTAGGCTAAACGATATGAAATTACGTTTCGATCACCCGACGTTTTTTACCATATCATTTCATATATTTATACTCGAAATGAGTTTCGTTTGATTGGCAATAAATTTTAAGAAAAAAGAGATAGTATATTTATTGTAAAAAATAAACATAAAAACTTGGTAAATAAATAAAAATTATTCATTAACAACATAAAAGTATTATGGACATTTGTGGTATCTTACTAAGGAATTAGTGGCTTAATCGTTTTAAATAATAAATTTCCTGTCCAAATGAAAGTAAACATGGCGAAAGCTTTTGCAGAAAAATAACCAAATGATTGAATTGTCATCCAAAAAGATATCTACATTTTTGAACTATTGTCCGGTTTTATTGCTCGTAATCCTGGTAACTAGAATTCTCTTTCTGATAATCAACATGACCTCACAGTACTGAGACTATTAAACTTATTTTAAATTTTATTTAAAAAAAAAATGAAAAGGAATGGAGATTCAACAAAATATCAAATTAGTGGGACCACTCTAATATATTTATATTAAATTTGTTTATTTTTGTAACTTACCAATCCGATGTAAAATTGGTATTTGTTCAGAAACTGGAACTAAGGACGAGTTTCCCATGTTAATAGTAGGAAAGAAATTATTGCTTAAGTTGACTAAGTTAAAAAATACTACTATCCAAATTGTGCCTGTAGCCGTACCCAAGTTCTATCAAAAAAAAACCCATTTAAAGTACTTAAATAATACATATCCAATAAATATATAATCGTACATTCTTTGGGCATCCATGATAAGCATCAGATATTTTAGTTACTAAAACATTTATAGAATTATTCGAAATAAACGTAAATCGAAAAAGTTGATCCCAAATATTATTACACACAAAATTAGTAAGAATTTCACTTACACCTCTAAGAGTAGAATGTACTGGCTCTGGAATATCTGGAGCATATATTAATAGTATATTAATAAAAGATTATATTTTCACGAAAATTTATTAACCTTCAATTTTCTGCATTTGCATCCAAAGTCTTATGGAATCAATATGAATTACAGAATAACATGTTATTGGAGTATCCATCCACCAAAGTAGTATATGATCCAAGATTACACCTACAGATGACCATATTATGCGCAACCCATGTGCAATTAAAGTATCGTGATTGCTATTAAAGTCTATATAAAAAAGTCATTAATTTGTTAAGCAAACCAATTTACGAACCTTGAAGAATGCTTGGGCATATTTCATTCGCTTTTGATAGTAACTGCTCTATAAGCATTCTTTCCCTTTCTAAAAACATATGTGTATGCTTCCGGCACTGATTATTATCTTTTTCAACATCTGTTTGGAAGCCGTCACTATTATTTCTCAATGGTCTATTGAAAGCATAACTATCATTTTGGAAGCATTGGTGAATTTCATCGGTTCCAATATTTAATGTTAGTATGCGCAAAATTTCTAAGCTGGAACAGTTCGATTCACAGTTTTCTAACCAAGAATTTCTTTTACTTTCCTCCTGCTTATTAATATTCAAAAGCCCAAGCATTAAATCTAATATGCTCTGTTCAATGCGTGTTTGAGATATAAACTATAAAATACAACAAGTAAAATATATATAAAAATATAAAACATGATATTTTTCATATAATTCCGAAAAACGGAATTATTGCTATTCTTAATAGCAAAAAAGTTTGTGAAGTTCACTGGAGTAAATTTAGGAATTCGCGAATATCTAATGGAACATGCGAATGATTTTCGAACAATTTGTGAATAAGATACTTAAAAAATATTTGAATAGTTATGTTTGTTTTATACGTATGAATGTAAGAAAAGAATAGTGAGTATTGAATAAAAGAATATATTTTAATAAGAAATTGCAATAAATGATATATGTATATAAATACAAACAAATAAATGAAGATCGGAGTATCGATCATCTACGTAAAAAAATCAACACCACTAGGGCCGTTAGAATCGGGAAAAACCTCTCCGAGCCGTTTGAACCGAGGTTTCAGACGGAGTGACTCCGTGTCGTATGACTACTTTAACCTAATGTTGGAAACGATAATTCAAGCAGCATATCTAAACCGCACTGGCACAATATTCTACAAAAGTGTGATGCTGCTGGCCTGAGCACCCGCGTCATCAATGCAGCATTTTCCAATTTAGGAAAACAAGCGAAGCAAATGAGTCTTGTGATAAATGAGGACAAAACAAAGTACTTTTTGTCAACAAAAAAATCCAGTGAGCGTCTTGGGACCCATGTCACTGTTGACAATTATAAGTTCGAAGTTGTAAAAAGCTTTGTTTATTTAGAAACCAGCGTAAACACCACAAATGATGTATGAGCTATACAGCGACATTGACGTAGTTAATCGCATAAAAATCCAGTAGTAGTTATAAAATTAAAATTATTTTCATAAATTTTTTTGTTTTTTATTTAAGCAAGATTTTTAGCCCCCTTCTATATAGTTGTCATATTAATGATTTACTATCAAAATTTTGGAATCTTATAAAACTTTTTTATATAGGGAGTATTAGTACCTTGTAATCAAAAAAGAACTTATTCGTTCTTTTTTTGAATTCCCGTGCTTATCCAATCGGAAATTTTTTTTTATTTTCACGCTGGCAACACTATTATACACATTCTGTCAAAGTTTAACGCATATCGTACGATTCGTTTTTGTTTGGCGTCTATACAAAGAAATCGAAAAATTTTTTGTGGCGATTTTTAGCTGAATTTCATTCAAAAAAAGCGTCGTTGTGATGCGACCAAAGAGATGATTAAGGCTAGTTGAGTCAGTGCACCTGAGCACTTTTAACCTCTATTAACTGCCAGGTTTCTTCAAAACCCCTCTTTACGCCTTGACTAGATTATTATTTATCACTTCATCAGACTAAGCAATAATTGACCTCAGATCTGCATACCTAAGGAGCCGAGGAACCTATAACCATTCTGAGATTTGATAACGCAGTGTTGGTAAGTCTGTCAGATTTCGCAAATAATTTCAGGGCTCTATCCTTTATGTATTTTTTGATGGGATCAATATTGATATCCCTGTGGATGTCATTCGTCCTAATGTACCATGGAACTTTGAAAAGTTATTGGAGGTAATGAAAAATTTTGGCACAGCTAGTTCATTTCAGTTGAACATGTTTAAGCCATGTTAATCGTTTGTCCAACATGATACTGAGATATTTAACGCTTTCCTCCCAGTTTATCACCATATCCTCCACTCTCACTCTCGACGGATTCTGTCTCCACTTATGCGTTATAAATAGAGCCTTAGTTTTTCATTATTGATTTTTATTTTCCATTTCTGAAAATACTCCAGAATGAGGTCTATATGCTCTTGAAATGTGTTCGTTATGTTGAGAGCACATTTATCTGAGTATAGCATACATGTATCGTCAGCATATAACGCCAGAGTCGAGGGACCTAACATTGGAATATCAGATGTATAAATGTTGTAGAGAGTGGGGGAAAGTGGCGATCCCTGAAGAACCCCTGCTTCTATAGATCGGACTGACAAGAGAGCGCTGTTGATTTTCGTGCGAAAGGACCTCCCACGTAGGAAATATCCTTTAATATTTTTTAAGTAAATTAATTAAGAAAAATATCATATTGTATATTTTAATGGCTTTATCAAGACATTGATATAATTCAGCGGATTAACATCCAGCGGTTTCGCTGGCTTGGTCATGTCGTGAGAATGGATGAAGATGCACCGGCGAAAAAGGTGTTTGAAGCAGTAGTTGGTGGAAGAAGACGTAGAGGTAGACCGTGTCTCCGGTGGAGTGATCAAGTTGAGGGAGAACTAACTGGACTTGATATACGAGACTGGAAAAGGCGCGCACGCAGCAGAGGCGCCTGGGAAGACATGCTGCGTCAGGCCGAAACTCGGTAACGGGTTGTTATGGCCACATAAGTAAGTAAGTAATATTTTAATGGCGATTTCTAGCAGATCATGTTGCGCACCTTAAAGTCTCTTCAACTTTTCAAATATCTTTACAAATGAATACCAGAACCAATATACAATATATTAATTTTTAATCGATATTAATTTACTGTCAAATGTTTTAAATAAATATATATTTTTAAATATGCTTAAACAACAAATCAAAAATTACCTGTAAAACATGGGAGAAATCAATCGCTTTCAGTGTTAAAAGCAATGACGGATAATTATTACTGCAAACATTCGCATTTGGTTTACAGCATCCATCGCTTTTTTCATCCTC